TTAGCTCTGCTGCCAGGGTTGAGGTGCTCACACACACACAAAAGTTAGCATAAAATGAATGGATTAAAATCACAAACATTCATTTTTGCTGCACTTATCAAAACTAATAATATCGCCAATAAATTTCCAAAGAGCAAAAAAGTCAAAGCACCAATACTGTGACCCCACTGTTACTCTCATATGTAACCACTTAGATCAAATTATTTGCTAAAATGCCAGCAATCTTGGACAACAGTGTCTAGAATTGAGTGGGTTTCATAATATATGCCGCACCAAAAATCTGATCATTACCAGGAATCTAAAAGCTCTTTTGTTCAGCCAATGGGACGGGGATAAAAGAGATGTAAAAAGAAACAGAAGGTGCTAGGGTGATCAGGAGAACTTCCACTCAACTGCAAAGGTATTCATCTTCCACTGAGCATATTGTCTGGGTTCTATTACTATACTTTTATTATAACATTCATGTTAGGTTCAAGCAGACTGGTATCTCTTTTACAAGAAGGAACTGTGTGCTGCTACAGGGTTCACATTTTTTTTAACTAGTTTACTGTACCTATGTTGGCTACGCTCCTCTTTTCCAGCTATATACAGTATGACCACATATAATAAGTTTGCAAGATGAAGAAACACAATTTTATGAGCTAACTGATTCATTAACATCATACACATCCTCTACCACAACCAGATGTGCATAGATCTTCACATTTGCTTCTGAGCACACTCCTTCAAGTGCTTGGTGAGGTCTGTAATATCTGATAATGGGTGATAAGAGCCGTAGCTGCTCAGTTCATACAGCAGAGTAATGGTTTATGATCCTAATGAGAAGGAACTGAATCAAATCTATTGCTGATCCAAACAGTGCAGTGGTAGATCCATACAGTGACTCTCAAAGGCCAATCCAAGAGTGCAGCCACCTATTAATTGTTCCTGTGTCTATAAAACATCAAAAGCAAGCACAAATTTTACTTATAGGTGTACCCCACCATGTCAAGGGCTACCAGGAAGGCATGATTCTTAATATTAGAAGGCAGCAAGAGCAACACTAATAAAACAAATAAATAAATAAATAAAATAAAATAAAAAAAACCACATCCTCTCTGTAGTCATAAATAATAAAAAAGCCATCACCTTCTTCTTGTGCCCATCAATATCACTGTGTCTAAAAGGAGACTATGTTCTTGGCATTGCACTTAACCACAAGACAGCCTTTGTTTCTGTACACTATTAGCTGGGGCTTGACCTGCTCCCAAAAGGCCACAGGGTCAAAAATGGAGTGTTGTGAAAGCATAGGCTGTCACCAGTTCTTATAGTGCTTCCACATCACACTGAAGCTACCCACTATAAGAGACAAACGTGCTCACAAATACATACTGTCTAAGGTTACAGGAGCAGCTCTGCCTTAGTGAGTCCCATTAGACATCTCAGCCCCCAAATTAATGAACACACTCCTCCAAATCCTCTCTCTCTTCTGCCCCACTCCAATCCCAGAACCTGCCTTGCGGCAAATCCAATGTTAAAGACTCAGCATGTTTTCATGTTTTTAGCATGGTGTGGACATACTCTCAATCATCATTAGGGGTTTTGTGGAGTCCTGGGGTCTGGGCAACTTGCCAGGATGTGTAAAGGTTTCCATCTTGAAAGCGGAGCGTTGCCTTCAGAAGCATCAGTCATGGACAGAGATCCCTGGGACGGTTAAAATGCTTATTTTTGTTGTTGGAGGGAGAGAAGGAGGAAAGGAAGGCTGAAGACTATTCTGTTTTCAAATTGAGCAAACAAGCTTGGTATAGTTTCAAAAACCTCAAATCGAAGAGGAAACAATCACAAGGAAAACTACCCAGTAACAGAAGGCAATCAGAACACATATGTCAAATATCAGTAATCGGCAGAGGCTGCATTGCACTCCGTGTTTTTCTTATTTTGGGAATAAGGGTCCTCTGTTTCCCAGAGAGGCAGCTGGTAGAAATCTGGGCCTCTGATTAGCACTAGTTGCTGTGCTGAGAGCTGCATCATGCTGCTGCATTTCATGATATCACCCATCACAGTAGCAGTTAATGAGACAGGACACACGGAAGCTGCCTCACAGGACCGAACACCTAGCACAGCCAGAAGACTTCTGCCCTACACACACATACATCCACTGCAAAATACCTATAAATGCCAGTGACAGGGGTCCAAGAAAAGGGTATGCAATGCAATTCAAAATTGTCTGTGTAAAAAAAAAAAAAGCCAAGTCTGAGTGTGTTTCTCTCTCTCTCTCCACATACTGTATATCTATAGGTGGAATCATGGCAGTGGGCAAGAGATAGTACAGAATGATGCTCCTTCAGACTTAACAAAGCATGCCATCATTTCAGCTTTTTTTTTGTTTGTTTGTTTTAGTTATGAGGCAAATGTAAATGCAGCAGATTGTGTTTTTTGTATATTCCATTGTTATGCACACTGTCAGTTGTTCAGCTCACAGTCACCCTGTAAAGTACAGATAGTGGCTATACTGTAAGTATAAAATGTCACAAAACTTTGTTTACAACGAGTCAACAATCCAACAAGCTCAACAACAATCTTCAAGCAGTGTTGGGTCTTTCATCTTCTTCTTTCTTCCATCCCTGCAACTTACTAAGCTGTTTCCTTACCTCCAAGTATGTAAAAGGGAGACTGAATCATGCGAGTGAAAATGGCGGCTCCACTTTAGAGCTCCTTGCCTCACCACATAAAACAATGCAGACACCAGAATCCTCACCTCACTGTAGTTAGTAGGCTTCTATCATAGCAGAGGGAAGAGTTTAACAGATTACAATGGAGACTGTGTATGGCAGTCAAGGGGGTTTACATCTCAAACTCCCTGCATACTAACCCAGCTCTTTGCACTACAGTAGCCCACCATTGATAAGTGATTTCTCAGGGGCTGCGTAAAATCTGGGACTGGCCAGAGAGACACATTTCTTCTGGCTGATGAGAGCAGGAGGCCTCAGCATTCAAGCGTAGGAGGTGCTCCACTCCTGGGGAACATCAAGTTTGCTCCTGCAGACTCCAAATCACCAGCCCCCAGTTGCTGGGGAGAAACACTACATGGCTGGCGTTAAATCACTGCTGCTGTGGTGAGGTCATCCTCTCGTCTTCCCTCTGTAATGGAGCGCTAGCTCGCTAACATACGGTGGTAATATGCGCAGACAGGGACCGGGACAACCTGTAAGCTAATAGAGCGCTAGCTCGCTAACATATGGTGGTAATATGTGCAGACAGGGACCGGGACAACCTGTAAGCTACCTTGTGATCTTAATTATTTTATCTTAGGGGTCATTTGAAGGGTTCGGTGTAGGGCCGGGCCTAGGAGTATGCTGTTACCACCGCACACTTACCAGGACTCCTTGAGCTCACCACAGATGCTTGTGCAGACATTAGGTGATGCAAAATGGCAGCACAATGAGGTTTTTCAAGGGGTTGCTTCACTGTCCTCGGTCAATCAATACACATTCCTGTGCGTCCCTAATGCAGCTGTAATCACTGGCTGAATACATTTGGGCCCTGGGCTGGAGGAATATTGAGCCTGCTAAAGTGACAGTGGATGGAGTAGTGTGGGAGAGAAACAAGGTTACATGACTTTGCCTTAGCACACTGCTATGTACACTTGGTGTATCTTCATACTACTGTGTGAAAAAGGACCCCTTGGCAAACATACTCCACAAAACAAATAAAGCTACAGTTTCACTTTATTCGATTAATGCTGAAATCAAAGTTTCTGCCTGCCCTAACTATTAAAACAATGAGATTTCAAATTAGATTTCCGGAGCATGCCACATTGCTATGAACTCAAGAAAAGGCAAGAGAAGAGGAAAAAAAGGGAAAGTGAAAAGAAAAAAAGTTGGAAATCAGTTTATAGAGCTGATAACAGACAGACACCCCCCTGTCTCTGCAGCGTGTTTATGAGATGAGGACTAATGGGACTCATCAGAGCTGACAGATATGCTGACAACTGCATTTCAACTCAATTACAGTTCCACAGCAAACTCCCCTGGTCCCTTCATGCCTATCACCCCTCTACTCCCAGAGCTGTTGAGTGAAGTGTGCACACACTCATGCATGTACACAAGCATACACACACTATATCAGTTTACTAAACAAAAAGGTTCCTGGCACTATAAGGATGCTAGGGGGACTTAAACATTTTATACTGGCATGATGCCACTGATGTGCTCTGTCAGTATATATATAGTATATCATAACAACAAGTGGAGCCTCTGCTATCACAGATAACAGATTGTTGATCTGAGAGACATAATATGAGATGGACACAGGAGGCAATAAACTCGACCATACGGTCTCTTGGGTGTGACTAGTTTCATTGCCAAAGGGAGACCAGTGACCCCACAGTCTCCCCTGATGACGACAGCTGCATGGTGCTGACTCCGTGGGGAAAAGACGGGAAAACAAAGCCTCTGCCTCCCGCCTCCCAGCATCCCTCCCAGAAATATAGGGGGGTAGGGGGAGGGAGGGTTTGGATCAGTTCAGGAAACCGCTACCCATTGTTTTGCTTCCTTCATTAGTCGTTGTGTCAACAGTTTGGTTCACTACGCGTGTGCCGCTGTTTTTGTTCTGCTACACCCCAGCTGACCTCAGTTCTCTCATGTTTTGACAGATTGTTTCAAAACCCCATCAAGGCAATTTACTGTTTTAAAGTACAGCAGCCACTTGGACAACAACACTGGACCACAGGTTACAGCAAAAGCAAACAAATGTGCCAGCTCTAAAATTAAACAAATCTGACGTAAATCTGCTGCCACAGTTTCATCAGGAAATACTGTGAGGTGCAGCCCCATGTGGGGGCCTGCAGATAAGCAAGAGGTGTTAAATAAATTAAATGTGCTCCGTAAATAGCCATTTCTGGCGTTGATTGTGAACTCATATAAAGGCGCTTCCATCTAGAAAAAAAAAATGCCTATCTTTAATCAACTGATGCAAACTTGCAAACAATGCATATGTACACCTTGTTTCTGGTAACTCACCATCATCTAGGTACATCTGGTCCAGTTCTTGGGGCTCCTGTTTGACAGTGATGGCCATCGAAGGGGGGCTGGCATCCTCTGGTAGCAGGCTGGGTGAGCTCTCTCCAGTTTGGGCTGAGCTGGCTGCTGCTTGAGCCTGACTGGGGCTGTAGGCCTGAACAAATGGGCTCTCTGCAGTCCCACCGGGAGTGGAAGGGTGGGATACCGGGGAGGATGATGGGCTGCTGTTGGCATAGACAGGGTGATAAGCATGGGGTCCCGGGCTGTGGAGGTGGTTGGGGCTACCCTGGGAATGGAGCATCCCTAGGGAAGAGCCATGGTCTGGTGAGGCTGGGTGGACAAAGTTGGGGCGGCCAGGGGTCTCCTGGATGGGGGGCACCATGGGGCCTGGTGGAGCAGCATGAGTGGGGCTGTTGGGGAGGCACTTGTATGCCACAGGTGAAAGGTCATGCAGGGTGGGGCTGGAGTTGGGTGAAGACGATGGCATTGCAGCATGGCGAGGTGGACAGGGAGGGTAGCCACCAACGAGGCAGGCATCAGGATCAGCTATGGGCATGATGGGAGTGATCCTGGGTTGGTTGTAGTAGGGTTTTGAATGCATTGCCAGCCCTGCAGTCCCCAAAGAATCATATTCATCACTGGGTTCTGTCTTTATTATCGGCACTAGGGGGAAAAAATAAAAAAAGAAAGGTGGAAATATTAAAAAAAAATGTGCAGAGAATCCACGTGGCATAGTGAGCGAGCCTGAGTAAAGAAGTGAGCAGGCGCAATTGTGGCCACAGTACCCTCCATAATCCAAACAACCACCACTGGATATGGGCTTAGTGTCAACTTGGCCGAGCTCTCTAACGGAGAAACCCTCATGCCTCCCAACCACCACCCGTTGAGTCATCAGTGTGGAAAGCCACAGCTGGCTCTAATAATGAATAAGACCTATTTTCTTTGGACTCTCTTCCAGCTCTGATATCCAGTAAAAGTTGACTTTAAAACTGCGCTGCTGCTGCTGCTGTTGCTGCTTGAGGAGCCCGGGGCCCTATGTTTCCTCCACACTCTAATAATTGTTTCTCTCAGGACCCAAAGCTCAAAGCGGAGCATGGACAAAAGGAGATGATTTGATTTTGATTAGGCTGTCTGGACTCCTCAAGGGGCTCCAGAGCTTTGCCTCTGGTTTCAGGAGCTTTAGGCCTCAGCAATGACCCCACTTGATCACCCTGCCACCACTCCTCTGATTCCTAATATAACACAGATCATCTGCACTGTTTCATGATTACTTCTGACTGATAGGTATCACATCCTTCCTGTCCACTGTCAAGACTAGTTATTAAAAACAGGAAAGATTTTGTATTAATCAAAATCTGAATCTAGAACATTCACAAACAGAAATATTGTATATGGGTCCACTTGAACAAGCTCACTGGTGAGTACACATGAAGATTGTGCCAGGATAAGATGAACAGGATCGTGTTAAGACATCGAGTTGCATAGCAAATACTTCTGAGTCACAATGGACACACTGTTACTGTTTCTACACATTGTTAAACAGTGTTAATGGGTGTGGGGAGCATTTGACGCCAGTCATTAAGAGAAGTTCGCTTAACTTGCTCCAGCGACATTTACTCCAAAGTGCACAGATGTCAGTATAAATAATGTGTCTGTTTAATCTGTCTGCTTTTGTACACATCAAAATCTTTGAGCAATGTGTCACATGAAAAACAGGCTGTTTTTCAACATGTTATTATTTTTGTAGGAGTATTTTAAAAGGCATTAATCGCGCCTGTAGCCCCTGGGGTGCTGAACTGTGTTGCAGTGATAACGCAGCAGGGAGCACATTTACGTCAGCTCTGTCTGTGTTCAGAGCCCAGGGAGCAGGCCTGGTGTTCAGGAGCGCATCGTAAGGTGAGTCCCATGATGCACAGGCCTCCTCTCCGTAGATTGGGGAATAACAAGCAAGTCACATAGTGTTCTCCATATCCACAGTCGCATCATTCAACAAATTTCTGTCTCTTCCTTGTATTCTCTTTAGTGTGAAAGGCACAGTGCCACAAATTTCTCATATGGCAAGGTCACTCTCACACAAGTTGAAACAAATTGATGATGTTAAAAGTGCCATAACATTAAAATCTCTAAAATTAAAATCAATCTCATTCTAAAAACCGATATATTGTAAATGTATTGGTAGCAGCTAGTGTAGAGAACTGCCCTAAAATATATATTTTTAAGATATGATGGTTTTCATGTTGTACATGGAATATTTCAAAGGAAGGTAGATGTTAAAGTTGAAGTTATCAAAACAAACTTGTGTCTGCCCTTCTTAAAATAATACAAACCTGATGAAACAAGTCACTACAATTCCCACTTATGACATAACCAACATAAATATCTTGGAAGGGATGGGGTGTTCTTTATCCTTTGCAGCTTCACTAAAAGTGTAATCTTTTAAAGAGGTTTAGGGCAGGTAAAGTTATTCATCCCCTGTGAGGTAAGTTGTCAACATTATTTTCCTATATGCCTTCTGACTATGAGCAAGACTGGTGAAATAAGAAATCAAATCACATTGGACTATTGGCTTTCCTTCAAGTTTCAAAACATTTTTCTGAGATTCCCTCTCCTCTGCTGCAGATATAAACAGAGGTGTTCCTCCATCTGTGTGTCTCCTTTCCACTTTGCATGTGAACTGGGAAAGCAGATTCACTAGATGAGTCCCAACTTTAGCTGGTTTCAATTTCCACAGACAGCTGATGCTTTCCACATAGTTTTGTCTCCATCTCTGGCAATTTCTCATTTGTCTGCTTGTGTTTAAACTGATCGAGCCTGATCTGGGCATTTCCTTGAGCGCTATTTCCTCTAAAGAGAAAAGGAACTGGGATGCGTGTGTATGTGTGTCTCTGTGTATGTGATTAGGAAGGGCAATGAAACATGGCTTATGTAGATTTTTAAATTATCTTCCAAAGGAAACCACCTCTACCCTGGCTACACAGCTTTTGGACAAGGGAGATTTTAGGACATAACATGTTCACAGCCTCATTTCCAAGGATCTTTTGTTGGGATTTGAGATTATCATGCCACTGCAAATAATAAAGCTTTTGGACAGGGGAGATTTTAGGACATAACATGTTTACAGCCTCATTTCCAAGGATCTTTGGTTGGGATATGAGATTATCATGCCACTGCAAATAATATTAGGTATCTTCTTGTTGCAGAAATACTGAACTCATCTTGTACGAATGGCACGAATCTGCAGTGATGTTTAATATGGAGCAGGTGGTAGTTCATTAACTCAAAGGTACCTGGTGCACCATGTCCCACTGTGTGGGCAATCTGGTCACCCAGCATACTGTGGGCCTTAATCTACTCTAGGTGAGTCTGACAAAGCCCAAAGCTCTAGACATGACAGACACCATTCTAGTCCTTGTCCGGTTTTTGGAAAACCATGACTGTGCAAATATTTACAAAAAAAAAAAAAGAACAATGTGTGGTTCGAGATGTTTTCCTGTATGCGTCACAGAACTCATTTCTGTCTGACCTCTTCAGCTCCAACCACAAACCAGTCAGGGGTGGGTGGAGTGGGGGTCAGCACCCATTTGTGTTAAGAATAGAATGTGATATTACAGAGAAATCTCCAAACGGCCTGTAAAAATAAAAGGGTTCCGAGAAGTTCTTTGCTTCAGTTACTGCCAGCACTTTTTTGGCATTTGTTTTTTTGATGTGGTTGGTAAAAAAACTGCTTCTTATTTGAAGAGCAACACGTCACGTTTCTACTCATGCAAGAATGATTGGAGGGGAGCTTGGAAAAGTGAGGCTCATTCCGGGAGTCAGACAAGGACGTTTGAACATCCCAGCATCACAGGCAAGCACTTAGGCTTGAACCGCAAAATACTGCTGATGGTACATCTCAAAAGCAAAGGTCAGACAGCTTAACCTCAAGTTCAATAACTCATGAGCAGCAAAAAACGGCTTAACCACTGTGTACTTTTTAATGTGTTTAACTTTGTTTTTTAAGTTCTTTAAAACTAAAACTTTATGTCTCTGGAAAGCTAACAGTCAAGGTCTTTTGAACAGTGCAGCACAACGGAAGGACTGCTTTGTTCGTGAAGAGGCTTGATCTACAGTATGTGCTCAGTGACCAACTGTACTGCATAGTACTAATAACACATTTCTAAGGAGATGTGTCTAAATGTCTCAAACCTTGTTTTAACTTTACAGTGCATTATTATGAAAATGATTCTGGAGGTCTACACTGAAGCTAGCAAGAGTGAGAGCAGCACTAAATACTGTATTTGATAATAATGTTATAATTTTGACTGAAACAAAGATTTTAAAAATCTACATAAACATATACAGTACACTGTACTGTATGTTTGATTTGGGCTAAAAAAATATATGTTTGGCTCTTCATATGTAGGCATCAGTGTTGAGCCACAGTAGATGCCAACAACGCATCTGCATTAATGAATAACAAGGTGGTCACATGACCTGAATGGAAAATAAAGGTGTTTTTCTCTAGCATCTGCATCCCAAAGACTGTTTGTTTCATCCTTCCGCTGTTTCAAACAACTGAAGCTATTTTAAGGGTTGGGTTTGCATTTATATAGATGAACAGGCACTAGAGTGTGAAAGAAATGTTCTCTCTAAACAGCGTCAGAGACCACAACTGTGCTTGAAGTGGGACAGCAGGCCGGAAGGAGTCTTTGCATACGAGTGAGCAAAAAAGTGTTGACAATAGTGTATGTGTGTGTGTGTATTTAAGTGTGTGGGTGTCCTCCTCCTCCAGCCCACCCTAGTACCTGGCCGCAGTGTTGACTGTTTCTCTCTGTTGACACACACAATGAAACCTTCAAAAGCAAACAGCTTCACTAGGATTTCCTCATTCTCTGTTGCACTATTGAAACATGAAAGTATTACAGTCATCAGTTTCACTGATGATAACCTTTATACAGTGTTCTTTGTGAATGCTTGCCAGTCAGTGAGCCAGCATCATGAATAAGAAAAAAATAAGTTATTGCTATTTATATTTCTAGAAACATTTATAATGACAGCTATGGCACTCAAATTCTGTAATGATACACCTGTCTATAATATAGCCTTTTATACTGTAGGTAGAGAAGTTGTTACTCTGCTTGGTGCATTTTGGCATCACCCAGGTCTCCTCACTGAATGAGTTCTTAGTTCTGCACACAGAGCAGTTCTGCATCAGTTTTTATTCAGCAGGGTTACAGTATAATACAAGGCTCTCTGGTTTAATTGCAGAATGTTTGCTTTTAGAATGATGCTATGTTGCACATTTTAATATGTGTTTTTTAAAGAGTGGTAAATCTCTAAATAGAACTCAAAAGCCTGGGCTTCCCAATTTCTTTGGCTGTAAAACTTGTGACTTAATTATGCTCCTTTGAGAAGACATTGGCCCTTCTTGTGTGGTCCACACCGTACTTGTAGTCTACTTGGCAGCAAAAGAGCGAACACAACAAGTCATCTTTTAATTAGAGCTGTGTTTATGCTCAGGGAAATTACTTAGAGACACACTGTAGCGGCTGATAAGCTTCTACATCCGTGTGTGTGTGTGTGTGCCAGTACAGTATATGAAAATGATATGCTATATATGGCCACAGTTAGTCTTCCCCACATCACTCCAATTACCCTCAATGCATTCGTCCATCTATTTATCATTAACCTCCAAACAGAGCTCTACTCCTGTCTCTCTCAGAGCCTCATCCAAAATTTCAGTCACTTACCTTCTGTGGCCAGAAATATCTGCTGATAATCTAAATGCCACACCTTATTAACAGGTGTACACTTAACACTCAACAGGTTATTCCAGCACCATGAGACCCATTAGACACTGATCAATGAAAGTAAGATACCATTGCTTCAGTCTAATGGATTTTTCTGGTTATTGTGAAGGGAAGGTTGCTGGTTGGAATCCCTGAACCAGCTGGGGAAATTTGTGAGATTCATTAAAGCCTTCTTTAATTGTTTAAGAGCGAGAAAAGTTGTTTTGATTCTGGAGAAAGGCACTGACCTCCTGACTGCTTAAGAATAAAACGCCACAGCCAACAGCAAAGGGCTGTGACTCCATGTGAAAACGGGAAGCATAGTTTACTTAGTCAGGTTTCTTTGGAAAGACTAAAGATAAAATACATGTTTCATATACATTTACTCTGTGCCTATTGCACACTGTCAATCACTCAGAGTATAATTTTCATGCTGAACTCTTCTCTACACTCTCACCGATACATTCTTCAAATTCCAATGTGAAAGCCATCTATAAACACTGAGGCCAGGGACACTCAGTGTGGTATTCAGGTTGCTACATGACTGTCAGGGCAATGCACTGCCTGGCAGATGTGTGTGTGTGTGAATGTGTAATTTTGTGCATCTGTAGGTGTGTGTGGGAGCTGAGGGGTGGGGGGCATTGTGTGAAAGTCAGGTTGCTGGGGGACTGACTTATCTACATCAGCAGTGCTTGGAGGCTCTGTCACTCAGCAAGTACACCTCATTGCTGGGGAACGCGGTCTCACTACAGAATAAACACACCTCACATCTTCTGCTCTCACTCACAGGCTACAGCCAAGTGGTGCCAGGCATAACATCAAAAACACTGACTGAAAACTGGCCACAGAATTCACATGACATGTTGACGGGTGCAGTAAACTGTAGTAATGAATGAATGTCAAGACCTGGAAAACTACCCTAATAGATGAATGTGGAGTGTGCAGCCTATGAAAACACATGCATCTTTCAATGTCACTGACAATAAAAAGGTGGGGGAATGTTTACAATGATTACCATTTGGAGGCAGGTAAGTGAAGCGCTGGTACTGACTCCTCTTCCTCTTGCCATTGCAGACGTAGAAGTTAACATGCACTGGGCTGGATATTCTCTGGTTCCTGTACGGCGGGATCTCCACAATAAGAGTACTCTAAAATACACATAAGATGCAACAAGATATTTCACTTTAGCGAGATAAGAAAGCTGCTGATACCTTCAGAAAATAATGTCATTTGGTTGCATTTATTCATTTCATTTAATGTCATACTCCCAGTGTAAATTTGTTGTAGGACATCCTGCAGCATTAGTGTTTCTCAGAGACTAGACTGGGATCTGGTCTAAATGAGCTTGTTTGGGCTGTGAGGTTGGTCCAGTGCCCATGTTTGTTTGAGGAAGACCCCCAGCACTAGAGGACAGAGGTATCCGGATTATTTGCATGCTTAGCCATGTCTCCCTGTGGATATGCTCATCCGTTCCCCCTTCCCCCCAGGCCAGACTTCTGCATGTTTGGGCGGATATGAACTTTCGACTATTTGCTTTCTGACAAGGGAACATAAATTTGTCTGAGGGTTTGAGTCTAATTCCTGGGGTGGGTCTCTCTCTTGTCAGGGTCTAAACATCCCAGAATGGGGCACTATGACAGGAAGCAGGTTTTTGTCTCTCTCCGTTGTGCATGGAGGAAGGAGGGAGCCATGGTGTGGGGGATGGGAGGTGAGAGGTCCTCAGCCTCGGTCTGCCGTCCAGATGATGCCAAAGAAAACATGCAGGTGGCTGCTAGTGTGTGTTAAATGTGTGCGTGCACATAGCTTTTCCTCTCCTTCCTAACCAATGAAAGTCAGCACACCCTGGACAGCAATAAAAACACAGTCAGGAAGGAAAGCTGGAGCACTTTAAAGTAGTCTGGTGGCAACATAAGAAGAAGGCCAGTGTTCTCTTGTAGTTCTCTCCCTGCTTGTTTGCTAGATATACAAATAAACATACTGCAGTATTTATATTTTATTGAGCTTGTCTCCCCACACCACTGCCCCCAGTCGAGCCTTGCATGCCCGCTAATTTTCCAGCATCTGAGGCTCTAGCCATAGCACATCAGCCAGCCCTACAGGCCAATTAGACGTACAGGTCCATATTTACTCTTATGATGCAACCAAGTCATGTACCTGAGTGAAATAACAGCAACAACAAGGAGAAAAACACCCTCAAGTTGCAGCGTTTAGATGTGCATGGTTTATTTTAGAACCAGCGCATGTGTAAATTGCCTCGGTTAGTTTACACAAAATGGGGAGGTGGGTGGAATGAGACACCACTGATGAAAGACATCAGCAATTCAAAACATACTGTCATCACACACAAGCAAACAGGTTCTCGAAGATCCAATACTTTACTCACTGCACTGAGCAGACCTACTGTAACAAACCTCAGTGAATTCTTAATTAGCTCCAGCTTTCTGTGACACACTGAACAACATTTGCTTTACTCTCTCTTGATGATTCCACTTCACATAGTTTTATATTAACAGAATCTGAATGTGTGACTTAAAAATCACTAAAATGAGCACTGGTTTATTTTCTCATTAGGACTCTCACGAAAAGCAATCCACTCTTGACTGCATGATGGTAACTATTGCTGTTGCTACTGGATACCTGAATTTCCCTCGTGATCAGTAAAGTATCTATCTATCTATCTATTGATTTATCTATCTATTGATCTATCTATGATCCCACCACAAATAAGGTGTCCCACTCACTGTACTACTACATTTGGCTGTGAACTAAACATCTGGCTATGTTGCACAGGGTGTGGCAGGAGCGTGCTCCTGTATGTGTGGATGCTTCCAGTTTGTAATCCGTGTGTGTGTTTTTGTGCTTGTTAGATACAAAAACAATGTGACAGCCTGTGCTTACTGTTTGTGAGGGTGTGGAGATTTTGTGAAAATTCCACTCAGTATTGCACGAGCAAATCTTCATTGTCTGTGTTGCAGCATGTAATACTTTAGCAAAGCTTACATCATTACAGGGGACAGATGAGGAGGAGATGGAGAGGAAAGAAGAAAGTGTCGAGGGACAGAGGGACTGTCAATGAGGAGCACTTACAGATTTGATGGAGTCCTTATCAACTTTGGCTTCTGTCTCCCACAGATGATGCCCATCTGTCAACAAAAGAATATCACACAATGTTTAGTAAGGCTGCATCATTATACAGACAGAATGGACTGTAAGTGGAGGGTGGCTATAATCTGCAGATGATGCTCATATTGGTAAAGAGGTGTTCATATTTGCCTTTAATGTGGGTTAGTGTGATATAACCTTTAGCATTTAGTTCAGGGTAACATTGAAATATTGTGTCAATATCAAATGATTGACATTGACATTGATAATTGATAGTTGTTGGTCAGACAAAAATGCCAAAATGTTTTCTGGTTTCACATTGTAAAATCTGAGGACTCACGGTTTCTATAAGTCTTCAACATTTGAAAACCTTTAGTTGTGGACTAAAAAAAAAACATTTTATACACAAAAAACTAAGATACTGTAAGAATTAGTTAAGTTGTGCTCTACTTTTGCCCTTTCATTAAATCAGTGCTTAGATATATATTTTTTCTTTCTTTCTTTTACTTCTAATTTTATTTCTGTTCCCCTTCTTTATTTATTTTCTTAACTTTTCTCTGTGAAACTGAACAAAAAATCTGCAGTGTCTGATTCTCTTTCTTCTCATCTCCTTCTTGTTGTGGTGAGGAGGTGAGGAGGTTTCTCTTGCTGCCATCTAATAAAAGGCCTTTGAGCTACAGCTGTTGGGAGCCTGCACAAGGTCAGGTCACATTCTTTGGGATTTCTCTGTGATTTCATGCCACACCTTAGGAAACAGATGCTTCGAGCTCTGCTAGTGCAATCAGCACTGACCACAGTACCACATTTTTTTAAGGTCTGGTGACTCATTACAACTTCACATCCAAAACACATGTGTCACAGAAGAGCCTCTGTGTCAGTGGCACCATGTGAGGCAACACCATGGGCACTGTGGCACTGCTACTGTAAGTGGCAGCTTGCCTTTATGGATACAGCAATATGCTGCACTTTGTTTCTGGAACAGGAAACCATCCGATAAGGTAATCAGAATCAGTTTGCAAATAACTGATAGCAGAGGTCCAGCAGCTCTGGAAGATGTAAAACCCTTTTTTAAGCATTATGTTTTTCACATGATATGGCAGAGTGAAAGAATAAAGGGTCACAGTCATGTTTGGGTTATTACTGGTGAGCTGTGGCAGTGGGGGTGGGTGGTCAGCTAAGCTTTATTATTCAGAGTGAACATCAGTAGATATCTTTTTTCCACAATGGCCATATTAAAACTCAGGAAAGAAGAAAAACAGACATAGATGGATTAGATAAGGTTTTTCTATTTGAACTAGGAGAAATAAAAAGTAAAGTTGCATATGGAGAAATGTGCGTTATTGTGATGGATGTGATCTGGATGACTGGGCAATAGATGCAGGGTGCCAGTGACTCTGTGCATGTGGCCGAAAGAATGAGTTGCACATAAGGCTGTCAAGTGCCTGAGTGTGAAGTTTGTATGGAAGGGCAATTAGAGTGAGCACAGACAAGGAGAAGGTCAGAGAAAGGGAGAGAGACAGTGGCCGAGAGGGATGAGTGTTCCTCATGTTACGTCTAGGGAAACCAAGAGGGATTCTCACTCGCCTCCGCTCTGGGAGACACTCCAAGAGGGAAACCTTAGACTACGATGTCAAGCCCAACCTCCACTAGTAAACATGTTTTTCAAACTTTCCTTCCCTTCCTCTTGATCTTTCCTCTCACTGTAAATTACTTTGCTCCAGAGTTTTAAATGACTGCTCCATCAGACATAGCAAACCTAAAAGCAAAGCTGAGATGGGACCACATGTGGCATACCTTTGCAAGTCACAGAGCATGGTACGACTGATAACCACAAAACTTTCCATTCACTTCTTCTTCCCTGCAACATCTGCAAAATGCTTCTGTTCCTGGCAACACCTCCTCCTTCACGTAGCTTCCACCCCCACACACATACACACACAGATGCAGATACATGCACACACGCAACCACAGTATCCTTTGCCTTTGTTCTGACCTTCGACGTGAATTATTAGAAGGGGAAGCACAAAACAATAGGTGGTATAAGAGCTGTGTCTGGAGAAGTCATGGTGTAATCCAGTCACAGTTATAGAGAGAAATGAATGGACACTGAAAAAAGACACAGTTATTGTTAGGCTTTGTGCTGTAAGGTAAACCAAAATTCTGTCTATTGCTGTGACTCACTGGTGCAAATAAGATCCACTAAGGCCAACACCATCGCAAACATCAGGAACAACACATGCATTTATCTAGCAAATAGACATCAGGGTGAGGCTTCCTAGAGACATCTCTTCTTCAGTGCTGCATCTGCATCAGACTTTCATTTGTCATATTTGCACTGTTTGGTTAATGATAAACGTCTAGAGATGTAAATGTCCTAGACCTGGTGTCAACACTTTGGATTTACTACATCCTAATTAGGCCTCTAATGTTCTCTTACAAAGCCTGAGATAGATGAGTAGTAACATCTTTGTCCTCATAGTGACCTTACAGGTATGTTCTTTTTACACTGAATGCCAGAAATGGTCTTTCCTTCAAAAAAAACAAACAAACAAAAAAATCATGTAGTGCACAACAGCTTCCACTTGCCCAAAGAGAGTTCAAGTTTTTTTGTTTTTTTTGAGAATGGAAAATATGATTCATATGCTTAATTGCGGAGGATGTCTTCTGAAACAGCCCAGACATATTTCGCAGCTATGTCGCTTTTCCAGAGATGATTTTCAGGAGTATTTTTCTCTCTTTCTTGTTTACAGATGTCAAGTTTATTTTCCAGTTTTGTACCATTCTGCTACTGCTAACCATGGCTCTGCAATTTTACACATATTTTCACAGCAATTATCTTGTTGTCCAATGAAGAGAAAAACCATAAAGGGTGACTGATCCCGAAGGTACAGCTGCTTTCCCTTCTGAAGCCCCAGGCATCTGCCAGTCTGAGGACGAGTGAAACTGAAGTAATTTGGGTCTGTTTTGGATTGAGAGGCTTCCATATAAATTACAGCCTGACAGTAGATTTGTGAAGGATTTATAGTGAGGAAGTAAGTTATTCTCAGTGTATAACAGGGAACGTGTGAGCTAACGTGTGGGTGCAGGCTGAGGATGGCGCCCATAAGTCAGGTTTTATCCTTTTATCAAGACTCCAGCTGTGTGGCATTGTTTGAATATGATCTGAAGACTGAGAGTGATGGCAGGAGGCTTCTCCTGACATTAACATTTGTACAGTATTAGTGGGGTGCATATGTTTCACAAAGAGGACAGCAGTGTTGGGTGCTCTCCATGGTATGTTATAGCTCAGGTCATAAAAACTTGCAAATCCTCAAATCAAATGTACAGTGATGAGGAATGCAAGTATTTGTGCAGGGTCTCTTGAACTGTTTGCAGTCAAATAAGACACAAATCCCAAACACTAAGCAACATTTCATCAAGATATATCACTATTTGTATCACATGGTTGAGAGATTCCTTAGGGCTTGTCTCATAAAGAACATCTGTCTCTCTGTGATTTATTTTTCTTTCTATAGCATGCCCCAGCAGGTCTCAAGAAAGGGTGGAGGACACAGAACAATCTAGACATCCTCCTGTCATAATGTGGCTGATTCAACAGAGGTTTTTGATGTACATATAGATGTGTCTAAAGCAGAGGCATACACCTAGCTTTCTTACACAGCTGGCTTCTAAAACGCTACACTGGCATCTGCCGGATGAATAAAATACACTGGAGGGCAAGAGGCAAATGTTCAGTTCTATTCATAGGCTTTATCCTATAACAGGATGATATAGGTATAACTCTGCATCCTTGTGTAAATTTATAAAAGAAATACAGCTCAGCTAGTCAAGCAAATCTCATTAAAAGCTGAAGCTGTATATTATGATTTGATCTTCTTGGATATTGTCTCAGCTGTTTCCCATAAGCCTGATACATAGATGTGCCATAGCTTCATTTTATGGGGGATGGCGAATGAGGATGAGAGGTTAAGGTCCTTACAGATATGTAATAGAGCTCCATCTAGAACTACAACTATTATATTGTAGATAATAATTGTGGTGCAGTATGGCAGCTTAATTAGACATGATATTGTAACACACACTTCTTTAATCTTTAGCTTGAAGCAGGAGTGGAGGATGACCTTACACTGCCATAGTGCAAAAACTACAAGCCTACAAGCAGGTTATCTAAAGGGCTGTCTAGACGTACTGCTAGAAGTACAATGCATCCACCAGCTTGTCTAGTGTTCAGACTTGCCTAAGGTAGAAGCCCCAAATGAATCATAAACAGTCTTTGACTCTAAAAGTACAGATAAGGTCTGGGTTGCTCAAATTTGAGAAGGAATACATATCTCAATATTTCAGCTTGTTGCTGAGGTGGTTCTACGTGACAAGAATAATAACCTAGAGGTATAGTTGTGGACCATACTATCCTGATGTTATAGATTATAGTGTAGCTCGGAATTCTCTTGGTCTTGGCTGTGAGCTCAACCAGCCTGGAGTAGAGGTGGAGAAGACCAGACACAGACATCTCCCCGCTGCAGCCAGCCCAAGCTGTGTAGTGCTCCCGAGCTCCAGGCAACACTCCAATCCAACCAGATGTAAAAACTATCCAGATCACCAGGGAATTCCCTTACCTCCCCTCTGAGTCAGAGTGTAGGCTTTCCCCAGCTCTCTCTCGCTCTCTCTCTCACTCTGTTTGTCTGTCTCTCTCTCTCTCTCTCTATTTTCTTTGCCTCTAGTAGTCATTCCATCCATGGAAAGCAGGGCAAGCCAGAACACACACTGGAATAGGTGCTCCAGGTATGTCTTCCTACTGCTGTGCCAAAAGAGTGGTTTGAGCGAACCAAAACACTGACTCAACCTCAGCACAATAAAAAAAATTACAGAAAATTTGAACTAAGCACAACAATGCAAAAGAAGACGGAAAGTTTTATAATAGCCCGCACTGCGGCTTTGACGAGGTACAACTCTCCATAGCAGAAAAAAACATGATATGGTCTATTAAAAATACATGTCAGCAGTAATTACTGTTGAAAAGAATGTTTACACTGCAGCAGAAACAGAAATGTGGACTTGAACTTCTTGAGACTATCATTATCTAGCGACGGTCTGATTAACTTGCTCTCCAGACTATGTGTGGTCTGTGATGAGCTAAAAAATAAGGAAAGACACTTTTATAAAATAATTCACAAAAATTCACAGAATAAATCATATTTCCATATAAAAGTTGCATGAATACATAAAACCTTTTGCTGGGACTGGGAAACGGAGCCTGCGCTTCATTCAGAGTCAACATCAAGCAGGTTACGATTTTTTCTGTACTCTGGTGTCCCAGTACACGAGGTCACGAGCAAGATTTCTAAGGAAGCCTGCCTCTCCTCTTCCTCTTCTCTCTGTCTAGCCTCAAAGGGTCTTGTCTTTTCCGTTTCACCCCTCTACAGGGAATCCCTCATGGATGACTAACAGAAAACACTTCCTACTGCATAACACAAGCAGGCCCGGAGGCTAACAGCGAGTAGTGGGCACGCACGTACACAACAACAAAAATGCACGTGCCCATGTGGTGAATGCACGGAGTTTGCATCAGTTATCCTGTGGGTGATGAAGTGGAGCAGAGGGGATGGACGTGACACTTGAAAAGTAGAAGTAATTATTTTTCAAGGCCCATTAAGGTCTCCTGCAGTGACAGCAGCTATGAGCCCTGCTCATTTTATACTGGGGACATCTCGAGGGGGAACAAACACACAATCAAAACAATACAGAGAGAAGGAGAGGAAGATTAAAGTGGTAGCAAAAGATTGGCAGAGGGAAACTATGATTTAATGGTACAAATGGTTCCCTTGCCCTGAAGTCTATGGGTTTGTTGAATGGATTTGTGGTTGGAAGATAGATATAATGTCTGTGGATAACAGAAGGCCAATACACTGTCACATTTGTTTTTCAACATAAAATAGGTCAATAAATACTCCACTCATGTTTTTTAATGCTTTTACTTGTCTTTTTTTTCAAGTAGCTAACAAGTGGCTAAATGGTACTACAGAGGCTGTTCGGGATATAGAATATCATCACACCAAACACAAAGACTCATCTGCCCACTAGCTCGCTTTTACAGCCTCGTTATGTTTAAATTAGTGCACTTGCAAACTATTCAAACTAACTGGCACAGCCATGATCACTAGCTAGATCAGGTCATGCTAAGAGGAAAGGATTTTGTAAAAGAAGTAAGCACTTTAAATCAAATTAGAAGTTGGAAGCCGTGGTGGTGACACTGAAGTCATGGGACTGCGGTGTAGTGCATTTATAGTCTAACAATAGCTTTTTACTTCTAGCGATTGTATTTGGGCTTCAAAAATCATAAAAGTGAAGATTAGCTTACTGTACAAAATGTGTAAATGTCATAAACTGTTGTTTGACACAGAGCTTATTTTCTGCAACAATCCAAAAGCCTATGGAAAAATCCCACTGGCTTTTTGTCAAAGGAACCAGGGTGATGCTAACATCTGGGCTGGCATACAACAATACGTCATCCCTACAGTACTCTATCGTGTCCCTGCCGCAGCAAAAGATGTGCCACAGATAAAACTGTATGGCTGTTTTTAGTGGAAGTTTAAAATACCCTACTTTAAACAAAAATATTCAGCTTTAAATTTTGCTTTGAGATGTAGTCAGCTTATTTGCCTTGCAATTTATTCAGTTTCAGCTTAAAAAATATCCATCATCACTCACATTTCCAAAATTGTCCCTGGTATCTCATCTCCTTATCTCCAACTGAGGTTACCTGACGTTTCTCTCTAGTCTAACTGCTTTCTCAACTTTAACATAATGCAAAAGATCCTTGCCCAAAAACCAAGCAAAAACTAAAGTGATGACATAAAGAACCCATATCAATAATTTGGTTTTCATGTGTTTTTCTCATCACTTATCACTTACTGTAACCAGAAGCCGTTTTTATGGGAAGGCTATTATTTTCAAAGCAGGAACTTAAAACAGAGGCAGAAGGGAAGAAGAAAGAGGCAGAAGGGGCAGGTGCTGAAAGCAGTTACATCATTGTGTGTCTGAATGCAAATGGAAACAGTTGAAGAAATGCATGTATTTATGATTTATGGATGTCTCATTTGTTCTAGTAGGTTTTTGTGTGATCTCCCTGTGACTCAACTTGGATTATTTTAACTGTAATTATTCACACAAGTTGGATAGGGACTCTGAAAAACCATCTGTTGTGCCTTACGATTTGTGGAATTTCTGGAAGGTGTTTATTGGAATCAATTTTGGAAAGTGAGCAGCCATCCTGATCTCTGATGGCAGCAGCAGAAATGGCTGTCACCACTGTGGCAAAAGCAGTGATTGGTGTTGCTCTGCACAAAGAGCTCTGTTAGCGCATGTCTGCAAGTGGTAATTACTGCGGTGCAATGCTCTGGATTTCATGGGTGCATGTACTTGTGAACTTTTCCGGAGGAAAATAAAACCAAAGTTACAGAATAAATATGCAATATAATTACAATTTTATTGGGTTCTTTCTTCCTCATCCCAGTTTGGTCCTTCTAGATAAAAAAACAGAGACATTTTGAGCCTGACCATTATAATAAAACAGCAGGATTCTCTGATTAAAATGCCAAAAAAAGCAAAACAGTGTAGTATATTTGAAAATAAGTTGCTTTACCACACTCGTGCTTGCTCATATATAGTTGCCATTAGCGAGTGATGTGTGTTACTGTGTGTGCATGTGTTTGTAGGTCTGTTTGTAATGGGATTTTTGATTTAGGAGACCCTGGAAATGATGGGTCATTCAAGTATATGTAAAAGCAGACGAAGTAGTAGACAGACAACCTCTGTTTTGCTCTCCCTCTCCCTCTCTCTCCCCTTCTTGGCACCACAGAGACAGACAACTAAGCACTGAACTGTCAACGGCAGGCACAAGCATGGGGATCCCGCTAGTTGCAGAGCTCCACACAGGCTAATGTCTTTAACGGGTGTGAAGGCTAGAGGTAAAAAGAATGGAGGACGAGGGAGTAAAAAGAGAAAAGGAGGAAACAGAGTACTCAAGGTGGAGAGAGAGGGTGAGGTGAAAGAAGGGGAATGCTACCTAGAAAGGATCATGAGTCTTAAATAACAGGGAGTGGAGAGGCAAAGTGTCATGTGTGTATGAGCTTTCCTCCACAGGGAGCCCCCCTCCATGACTAAGTAAAGTCAGGAGGAGGGAGATCACGTATTCATCCACCTGGCCTAGCCCACCTCCGTCTCCCACTAATGTGCATAAGAGTAGACTGGGAGAGGTGAGGTAAGGAGGCATGAGTGTAGAAAACAGTAACAAAATCTGTTCAATTTTGAAGAATGTTTAATGACATTATCAACAAGTAAGCAACAACCTGTGCCTATATTTTACCTTCAAATGATGAGACTTTGAGTGACCTTGATTGAAGCAAACAAAGATTTCAGTAATTTTCAAGTGGTTCAGCCATGAATTTAGTACTTTTGTAAACAGTTGTTATAAGAACAGGGACAGCCAAATCACCTGGTGGGCCACTGTTGAATGGTTGACAAGCAAACAATTTTAATGTGATTTTGAAGAAGTGGAAAGCTAATTCCTTTTTCTTTTCTTTTTCACATTTTTCTTTTGCCTATGGCACAATAAGAAAGTCTAGATTAATCCATTCATTGGCACACGCAAAGAGAACTACCTTGTTATTCGGTGTTTTGTCATTTCACTGCCCTGATTAAAAACCTCTTGGTGACACTTGTCTCGGAAAGGAAAACGTGTGGATGGTGTGAAGAGATGATAAGGGATGATTGCTCATCATCATCATTAGCAGCAGCTCTGGGTTTCAGTAGGCTTCAGAGGTGCCACCGTGCTTGACCCTTGGTGCACCTTAGTGCATTCAGTCAAGGAAATGAACACTCGTGCAAACTTGATCAGTAGTTACCATTACCACTGCTGCCTCCCCCACAGGCAGGAAATGCTTGGTTGAAAAATGTGGACAAAGAAAGGAATAACCTCTTTACCATGAGTCAGTGAAAGGCAGCAAGGGTGAGTGTCCAACAGAACAGATGGAAGAGGGAGCTATACTGAAAGGAAGCGAGACAGTTAAATGTCAAAATCAAGGGAGTCAGGGAGGGAGAGACAGCAAGGTAGAGAGAGCAAAACTGAGCAAAAGAGACGTTGCACATGCCCTGCTTGTGATTCATTCCTTAACTTGTGGTGAGCACCAGTGAATAGGCAATGGAAACTTCAGCAAATGTAAATATGCTTTGGCTAAAAATACAGTGGCTTAATGCACACCACATGTGGCTCTTTGGCAAGGCCTGCTCTATTTTGACGGGAGGAGAGACTGAGTAAATGTGACAGAGGTGGAGAGATATTTGAAAGAAATATTAGAAGGGGAAATTGGGAGGCAGTAAACATGGTTTGGCGATTGCAGCTTACCCTGGGCCTTCTCAACAAACACCACCTTGGAGTCAGGGAGGAAGTTCAGACCAGTCAAGAGCATCATTTTGCCTCCTGTTGCAGGGTAACTGTCCAGGCTCTGCTTCTCCACCAAGGGAAGCTCCTGTGCTGAGCGCTGAGCTATTGAAAAGAAACACATTTCAATGCAGCACGTGAGCCCACATAAACTCACTGCTGATATCCATCGACCCTGAGAAGCACAAGCCCAGCTCAGAGCCAGTAAAACAGCAGTTATTGGTTAGCTAAACAGGCTTATCAGTTTTATAATTATGATTTCATGAGCCCTAGCTATGAGGTTTTCAGCCAACAGCTGCTCTTTAAACGACATAAAGAAACGGCAGACAGCTGATCAAAAACAATATTTAGACCCCTAGTCATTATTTTCCATCAAGAGGTCTACGACCAAACACCTGTCTGTGCTTTCTATAAATATAGTTAGCTAGTCACGTCTGACCTCTGGGAGCAGGTGACCACATTCACAGCCAGAGTATTTGTTATCATGTACTGTAGTTGCGAATCTCACCTATTATCCTATTGCATAACAAAAATAGGAGCTCACTAAATCAATAAAGAACTCTTAATGAATAAACATTGTTCTGTTGAACCAACTCAAAATCCGCTTTGGACAATGAACTATAATGTCAGACCCTGTTTTACCATCTACCTTTAATTGGCTTCCATGGGTGGAAATTATATCACACCTATATACACGAATGATGGACAAAGCAACAAAGATTTCATTCAATGCCAGTTCTGGCACAGTTGACTATGTGACCTTTGTGGAACCTGTGCTAGTGGGGGAGTCTTACTGCAAGAACTTGTGCATTCAGTCATAAAATACCAATTGCAACAGATAACGTGTGTCTGGCACAGTGTACAATGCATGTATCCCCTTGGCAAATTGATTTGATCATATAGTGCTTGTAGGGAACAGAGACACATAATTTTCTCCAATAGGTAATAAAATAGTAGCTCCGTTTCCTGGGTTACAGCAACAGATGCCACCTTTTCCTTAAGTGGAAAGCCAAGGGAAAAGACATGCCAGTTTGTGAATGTATTTCTGTGTTAGTATGTGAGACTTACAGCATTCAATGGGGTTGGAGGCAGCCTGTAAGGACACTGTCCTGCCATTGGGCTGGTTGATGTGCACTCGGAACACCAACCTAACACGGGTGTTTTTGCGTCCAATGTCCGTCTCCCCTTTGCGAAGTTCGATGTCTGAATTACGGAGCTTCAGGATCCCTGCGCAGTCAATTCTGGGACAGAGGCAGAGAAGGGCAAGACTGAACATCGTATTTGAAAGATGACATTATATCTATCGATCGATCGATCGATAGATAGATAGATATAAGAAAAGGTAAAGCATTAATATCTGCTTTCTCTGCTACCTACTGTATAACTCTAACTACTCTAACTATAATCATTAGACATACCTTCTATGAAGAGATACTGTATAGACAAAGGCCGAGACAAGCAGATTTGATTCTTTGACTGGGACTGTTTAAACTGAGAGAATAAGCAGAGTTGCTGTGCAATAGGACCAACAGAGAAGTCCTTGCTGGTGTTACAGATCATACGCTGGAAGTTCACTTGAGCATGACTGTGTCATTATTAATCCAGCATGTGATCAAAGACAGAGCTGGACATCAGTGACTTCACATCACAGTTTTAAAGGGTCACAGAGGTCCAAGAATTAGCAGTTCTCTTGAGGAATTTTCTGGATGAGCACACCATGGCTATCATATTGCTATCTGAGTGTATTAATCCTGTCACAGTATTCACTTCATACATTTAGGGTTTAAACTTCTGTTAATCATTGCCATGTGTAACAGTAGAACCTTTCCTGAGCTGTCTGTTTTTATTTCATCTCACAGCTTTGGGTGACTTTTCTTTCCCATTTCTTAGTGGAAAAAGAAGCAGCCTTTCATGAATTTCAGTAAAACTAGGGTGCCTGTTAAAAATGAGGGGATACTAATGAGATATGGTTTGGCATTTCAATTATTTTACATGGTAGCTATTTGGGCACTATCCCCGGAACATGGTAAATGTCAGATTTTATACCAGTTCATTTTCCCCTTGGCTGTGGTTTGGACAATTTGATTTAAAAAAATCACATGTAATGCTGACTCCCCAGTCCTTATCAACCTTGCATGAAATAAGTATTATCATGCATATGGTTTTAATCCAAAGTCAGTTTTCATGGGCTATATTACCCTGAGATGCAGAACAGCTAAATCTTCAGCAAATAAATGTTTAGAAAGACGAACGTGTCTTCTCTGCCAGCGGCACGCTGTAATAGTGTAATAGGGTATGTGAGTTTAAAAAACAACCCTTTTATGAGTGTAGTTATGAAAAAAAAATGTTTCTAAGTGTTGCTGATTAGGAAATATATGTAGGTATTTATGATCATAGAATATCTGGTACTTCTTATAATTTGTAAAATGCACATTCTACATTAAATGAAACTACCCTCTTTATATGAGATAAATTTTCCTAGAAGAGAATAGAAAAGACAGATTGAAACTGTCTGAAAGTTTGACTACAGTTCTCGAGTGTCTGCATCCCACACAGCGAGCAAATGATATCTGGCACGAGAACAGCGGGATGGATGCCACATTATCAAGACAGCTGTTTAACAGTTTAGTGGAAAGAGAGTTAAAGGCTTTTTGTTGTCTTTGACCTTTCAGATAGACAGAGGAGGAAGACAGAACGTTCACTCTCTTTTTCTTTTTTTAAATTTCACTCCTCTTCCCTTAGCATGTATGCTGACAAGAAGAAAAAAGCAACTTCCTTTAGAATGCTTTTCATTCTTTTATCAGATTATGCTTAGGGACACATTACTATAAGTCACATGGTTCAGGGGCAGCTCTAAATATGATACCCTATGAGGAATATTGTAGTATTGTTTGTAAATTGATATTGTAAGGCAGTACAAATGTTAACATCCAACCAAACAAGGCCCCTGTCCAGTCCAGAACCTCCCATGTCCCATAAATATCTGACACTATGTGTCAATATGAGGTACAGTAAGAGGTAACAGCCTTATGTCACCTACGTTCAAATACAGTCCTTTTATCCATAACACAAAGTTCTGGGCACCAGTCCAAACATTCACTGCTGCTTAGATTGAATGAAGCCACAGTGCCGGAGCTAATGCCTGGACAAATTGCAGAACACACCTACCGGATTACTGCAAGTCTGGGGGGCTGATTCATCTTAACCTAGCAAACTCATGATAATATTTTACAAAGTGACCCAAGATTATAGCTAGCAAAGTACTTCATGTGATTCTAACTAGACTTCCAGAAAGTAAAATACAGCATGACTGTCAATTTATCTGTTGAGCTCACAAACCACTAAAACTCAATGAATGAGCAGCCACCCTAATTAGCAGAAAACATTTGCTTGTTAGCCAGCTCATCATGTGGTAAACACTAATGTTAGTGAACATACTGCACACTATGCCTTAGCAAATTTAAGCAGATAATGTGTGTTGGTACAAACTTAAAATGCTTCAGAGTTGGCAGTGCTGCTGTGCGTTAGCTGAAGTGGATGAAAACGAAGAGCTAATTTATCTAGGGAAGCTTACTGCTACAATTAGATGTTTTCAAACTTTTCATACTGCACTCAGGTAGTCTTATACAGGCTAATTTAGAAACAGGCCTTTTTCACAGAAGACATTTTGACACGGCAGGATAGGAAAAACACAGAGTATAATAAGGGTAATGATGCCTGAACTCCAATTAGCTGTTTCGGTGCCAGGGTACTGGTATTGCACAGGCTGGCTCACTGTCACTCTGTCATGGCTTACTGCTACACTTAAACAGAATGGAGCCATCATTAATATTATTAGTAACACCTGGGTTTCTTCTACTGTGAAAATGTCTACTATTAAAATGTCTGCTGTAAAAACACTTATGTTAGTTTAGGTTTTACTAAGCGTGTGAGCACAAGGCTTAAACTATGCTGTAAGAGTAATTAGCAATTTAAAAAGATATATATTTTTGAATATATTTTCAATACATTTTAACCATCATTAATCAACATTGTTTTGCTTTTGCTAAATGGTGATTACAGTTGCAAGTTCTGATCTACATGAATGTGAGTGCAAAGTTTCTTATTGCACATTGCCTGTGTAACTAACTGCCCCCACAACCAAAGAATATTTTTATGGTGTAGTATTGCCTTTAGCAGACTTGTTGGTTCAGTCGTGTTGTGCTGGTAAATATTGGTCGAACCTCATGTAATGGGCCAACATCATACAGTACTAGTAAATCATGGGACTTTCGATGTTTCATGAACTAGTGTCGCTGGTATTTTATTATTACTATTTGTACATTAGATTTCTACATGGGCTCCTGGTTGAACATTTAGATCTTGCATTAGAATACTTACAAACACTGATCAGCATTAAATCACCCATGAACCTGGTATTTACCTCTGTAGAAGTCATTCATGTCATTGGATGAAAACAGTTTGTGAAGGCCTATTTAAAAGTACCTTCTGTACAGCATTGTACCTATCATCAGGTATTCCGTTTGTAGAGCAAAAGTAATAAGGAAGGTGCAGAGAGAAAGACGTGTGTATATTTTTCGGTGTGTATTTTAAAGTAGGGGTTATACCAGAGAAACACATGGAAAGAAAAGGATGGATGGGCAACTTGTAGAAGCCTAAGAGCACTCACATGGCTCTCATGTTGTTTTCAGGCAGCAGAGGGATCTCCAGAATTTTGGTGTTGGATTGCATGACTTCATGGCTGGCAGTAGAGACGGTTTTGCCAGTGATGCGGTGAACCTGGTAAAAGGCATGTGGACGCAGGAGGCGGTCATCAGCAGTCCCTATGAAGAGCTGCAGAGTGAGTGGCTCGCTTTCCATGTAGCCATAAAGCTGGTGGGAGAACAAAGAGAACCAGATGAGAGGTGACATCTCATGCAACCTCTCATTTAAAAACATAGAAATTGAATGCACATCAGCCACTGATGGTTAAGGGGGCCTTTAATGACAGTGCTGACAAGGTAGAGGGGCTGTGAAAATAATACCCTTTTCTTTGTTTGTTTTTTGGTTGGTTTAGAGACCGTTTTTCAGTGGTCGTTGCTGTTCTGCTTTTTCAGTTAGTTTTACATTCCTTTAGGGAAGTATGAAAAAAGGTTTTGATGCTCCTGAGTCTGTCTGTGGTATATGGATCTCCTTGCCAGAGTGGCATAAAGGCTGATGGAGAGACAAGGCTCCCATTACTTCACTGTTCATTAAAATCTCACTGCTGCTTTGAAAAAAAAAGTGCCTCGATAGAGACAAACAGCTGACACTGACTGAGTAGGACATGACCCTTAAAGAGACAAAATGAGGACCCAGGACAATGAACTCAGGTCTGCTTCAAGGCTCACAGTATAGAATGTTTATGAACCATTTCCTTGTATAAACACAGTATGTGCTGCATCAAGAACATGAAGTCAAAATTTGGAGATTGCAAAACCACTCTTTAAAATGATTAGTGTCAAAAAAAAAAAAAAAATCATGATATGTTTTCAACAAACTACCATTGGCAACGTTTCTCTATAAACTGCAGGTGATAGGCAGTAACACTAAAAAACCTCATGGAGTTTGCCTTTGGACAGTTATGAACATTATGATTTCCATTAAAACTCAGAAGCTGTGCCGCACTGTGATGAAAGAGACTCTTCAAACAGCTACCACTTCCTCTAGAAGGCCTCCATTAGCTGCTATCGCTCAACTAACAAAAAAATGGAAGAAAAATGCCATGGCCATGCATAGTTTGAAAAGTACGGTTGTCTTCTGGGTCAGCAGCACTTCAAATAAAAAGTGGAACTGCCAGTTGTTATTCTGCCTCCCTGGATCATTCTTACCATGTCTAAAGGAACATATTAAGATGATTTAAGGGTGTAATGGCTCAAAAATGTAAACATACAGGGAGGGTTGCAAATTCCAATGTGCAGTGAAGGACAACTAATACTTTGTGAATGATTTCTGACTAGAATAATTTGCCAATCATATGTGTATTTCTTCTAGAACTGGCCCTGACACTGCAGACCTCCTAGGATATGCCTTCTTTTTGCAGTGGAAAGCAGTTTTATGGTTATAGGGGCGGATGTAGGTGTGGGCTTCAAATTTTCTCCAAACCTTAAAGCTGTCAGGAAGCTGCAGAATCCATTTGGTGCATACAAAACCAAGAGGACTAACTTCTCATCAAGTGGACCTCAGTGGATTCACCCAGGTGGCTACTTGGCTGGATGTGACATGTACTGGGGGGATCACTTACACAAGACCAGCGCTCACCAAAATTGGTCAATTACGTGTTGCTTCAGACCAATTTTCTTTGTGCTCCATCCGAGTGAAAACTGTGGTATCACTGAATGGAATAAAAGATCTGTGTTGTTTATGTAACAGACTGAGTCATATACTGTAGCAAAATGCAGACCACATGTAACCTATGACATAATCTGATTAATGGGTTTATAATTACCTTTGTGAGGGTGGTTAGGGAGGAAGAGGAAGATTGGTGAGGGACTGGAGAGCTATGTCATTAAAAATCTGGAAATTAATGCCACAGCATCACAGACAAAGAACAAATTGAGAGGACAATTTTACCTTGATACTGTATTAAAATACATCAAGCTTAATAATAAACATGAAGACTTAATGCCTTTAGTTCTATACTTGATGATGGATCTTCAGAATTTGGAACAAGGCAGAATTAGTTACGCAATTATCAGAATAAATTTGGTTGAATAAGAACAACATATGGCTAGTCAGTGAAGTAGAGCATATATCCAGATGTCTGGGCAATCTAAGCCCCAGTAGATATCGGTACTTTGCTCACTGATTCAGATATAAGGCTGTCACTCATCTCCAGTTCCAACTGTTCTATCTTTCTATTCAGCTCCACATAGTATCTCTAGCAGGCGTCCTGACCTGTGAGCTAGTCACACATGCTAGTCATCAGTGAGTTAGGCTGAGGTCAGGAGCTTCTTGAAGTCTTGGCATCCCAAAGGAACACTTCATCTGTGTGGTGATCTCACTGGCAGAACGTGCTCTGCTTGTTATATTTACTTACAGTGTCACCAGGAGTAATTATCCATACCCACACATGCTACCAGTTATTTGGTTATTGATTCGTGAGATAGCTATGGCGGAGCAGGAGGCACAAATCTGAAACACTGGAGCGTTAAATTGCATGACGTTTCCTTGTGAATTAATAAAAGCTGTGCTGTCCCTCCCCTTTTCTTCAGTAGATTTCTTTTGATTTCTCCTTGACCTCCAGCCATTACCTCAGATGCCACATGGCTGTAAGGAGGCCCACAAGAGAGGCAGGAGGGCAGAGGGGTCTTTATCCCTTCACTCATCTTGTGGTGGCGTACGATGATGGTGGCATCCTCACTCAAATCTGTAGTGACCTCATGGAGGATACGAAGTGATTAATGAGGTCAGATAGACCTCTCAGTGATGCTGATCTTCCCAGCAGAAAAATAAAAGGCAGGCTAGTCCCCCCTGGGCGACCTCCCTCCATTCCTTTACCATATGTGCTCCTCTGACCCTCCATTCAATTCTGCTGAACTCCTGTGATGCTCAATCAAATACACACCACAAGCACAGTGCAAAACTTCACGTTATTCTCAAAGGGGGAATAAGCTGGGGAGAGAAAAGTTGTAAACTTTAATTCTGGCCCAACGACAGAGGCTTCACACACACCTGTGACCTGGGCTTTGTATTTGTGTCTAATGCAGCCTGTGAGGTTGGACCAGAGATGTGCTAATTTTGACCAGATGAGCTTCCCTTGCTGTAACTGCAGCCTCTCGGGTACACATGTTGTGTATTTATTTTGAGATAATTTAACTGAATCCAGGCTTTATTTGTAGCTCTTTCAGGGTGCCAACTTTTGCCACTGTGTCAGCAAGCTCCGTTTACACCTCCCACCGCAAGTCACTGTTGCACAAGCCACTTTTGATAGCTGAGACTCAAGTAAAACATTGTGGATATGGCAGCCAATGCATTAATCGTGTAATTGTGTGCAGCTGTATTGTCTAGGGCAGTTGTGATGATTTGGAAGGGTGTTGAGCTAAAAAGGGAGCGGAGGGTGCATCCCATCGATGTTTTACCAGTCAGCTACCTGTCGCCTGTGGGCCATTACAGAGCTATCATCAGGACAGAACACTTCAGCCCTTGGGACACAGCCAAGTGTTTTGCTTTTCATTTTTTCACTTGCTTCACTCAGTGAAAATCAGTCGTGATAAAATAATGATAGAGGGTGTTTATTGCAAGTGATTAATATACTTTCTTTTTTTCCATAGCCCATTTTATTCCTCAGTTGAATTAGTATTAGTGACATTGTGAATGCTGCCAGCACCTTGCCGCTGTAGTTCAAAGACTGGTTTTGAGCATGTTATATTTAATAATGACTTGCTGGCAAATTTGATGTGTCTGCACTGGCAAGAAGTCGAGTGTGAATACGCTCTACAGGCGTATGGTTGGCTGCCTTATATCCTTCTGCAGTGTTTTCATTACTGCCTAAAGAAATGTCATGACTCGTAGAGGTCCACGTGGCACAGAGAATTGGGGAAAGAAGAAGGAGAAGATGACTGTAATAGTAGAAGGGGGAGAGACAGGCGCAGGGGAGGACAGGGGAGGAGAGCAGCAGATTCAGGCTTTTTTTCATTATCATGCTTTCTTCTCTTTGTCAAGTGCTGACAGCCACACAGCCAGCCTTTGCTGTACCCAATTATATGTACACTCATCGAAATTATCCTTCCTCCCAGACTTTACTCCACCACCCTCCTGCCTTCTAATGTCTCCACTGCCTCATACTGAATGCATAAGGGAACATATGCAACCCTTTAATGTGTTGCATTTCCATGGCACCAAATGCTGCTCCTTTTATAAGCAACAGCTATATCCCTCAAAGTTTTTGTTGAACCGAGCACTTTAGTGTTATGTCATTAAGGGCACAGTTTCAAGCACTAGTCCATGTCTAGACCGCTGAGGGTCCAAATTCCATATAAAAAGAACGGCTTTGTTACCAGCATCCCCTGCCATTAAAAATATCATCTAAATCTACAGAGAATTTGAGTAAGATGATGCATGGTGACTGTTGTACCCCCCAACAGCATGACTACCCACCAGCGTCTGACCTCTTAAATCTGCGGGCTGTATGGCTATCACCTCAAACCAGTGAAAACCATACACTTTTTGCCCCATTTTTTTCCACTTGTTATTATCTAGTAAGTAGTGGTAGCCCACTAACAGTGTAAGGGAAGCCCAGCAGAAGGAGAACCACAATTTAAGAGTGGCATAAATACCACTTTGGGCAACAAATAATAGCCCTGACTAAACTCTAACAGCACTACAGGGAACAGCAAGGCTTTTGAATATCAAACAAGAGGCAGCAGTAGATTTAATGAGCAATTAGCAGCTTCGGTGTAGGGTGTTGTAGATCAGGAGTTTTCTTTGAGACATTATGCAGCCAGCATGCACCGGATCCCAAGGTGAAACTGCACATCTGAGGGACCGAACACATGTCTGGTGAGGTCTTTTTATGTTGTTGTGGTGGAAACACACTGCAAATTTGATATGCA